AGCAACCAGGCTACATACAGATGAAAATGATCTGGTAGAGACAAAAACAGAAAATAAAAAGAAGGAGAAATACAATTGCAAAACCCTTAAATACAAAAGGGATGGATTCCTCTACACAAGTAGATGGAGAAGCCTTAGATGCGACACTGAACAGTTCATTCATTGCAAAGGGGAAAAGGGCAGAATGCAGGTACAGACACAGTGAGGGTGGAGGGTCTATGGTAGAATGTAATTTACAAGGTATAGAGGTAATGCCAGACAACACTGTTATGAACTTTATACACATTTTACCACATGAGTCCACCCTTTTAAAATAAAGTTTTTTAAAAAACATTTAGTCCATTCCTCACTTTCTAAATATGGAAAATATAAGGTTCAATGATTAAGTGACTAGCTCAAAATCACACACCATGTTGGCAGCAGAGTCAGTCCCCGATCATGTTTCCAAAGCAGTGTACTTCCTCACATCACAGTACCTTTCATGTTACGAAAATATTACCTAGTGGCACTATATTTCATAATCAGAGTTTATTAAGCTAAAATCATTTAGTAAGCAATAATGAATACTCTACTCCCAAGGACTGATATAAAAAATGCAAGCTGAAGGATGTCCTTGGGAAAATTAAAAGACGCATTCAAGCAAAACAAATAGTCCATGGACTATCCCCACCTAGTTTATCTCTGGTAGCTATACTGTACAGGCTTCAAAAACAGACAATGCTTTCCTTTCCCCTTTCCAATTCTCCAATCCTGAACACTCTTTACGAGGCTAACTTCAGTTTTAAGTTATCTACCAAGAATTTCTCCTTCCTTTTAAAAACTTATGTTATCACTTTATTCAGATTTTACCAGTGGAATATCACCCAAAAACCACTTGTCTAACCCACTAGATCACTGAACATCTACTTATTCAAATAGCACAAATGCAAGGCTAATGTCTACAAGGAATAGCAGTACCTATGTAGTATAAAATGAAAGGACACAGAATGATGATGAATATTCTCAAAAATACCTCCCAGTCTTTATTACACCCAAAATTCTCATCATTAATCTCCATGATAAAAGCCCTGTATAGAAGTCTCCACTGTTCAGCCAACTGTCAAATCCAATGATCATCTATCATACTAGAAAGAACAAAATATTAACACCAGTTATTTCTGCATGAGGATGCTATAAGCAATTTTCTTCTTTCTTCTTTTCTAGATTTAATGCCAGGTAAAACACTAGTACACATTTTTAAGACCTTTTTTCAGTTCTGATTCTTCTCATTTGTTGGCATTGATCAACAATGATCAACATGTTAATCATTCTCACCTTAACCTACCCTTTCACTTGCTTCTCATGCTAACTGCCCCTTCTTTGTCTCCTTTGCCAATTCTTCTTTCACCCACTCTCTAATTACAGGCATTTCCCAAGGCTCAATCTCAGGTCTACTACTCTTTACTCTGAGCACCATGATCCAAGCCTTAAATTTCTCTGCCAAGTTCTAGTGATGTGTCCCACTGTCTGGCTATTTTTCACTTGACTATCCCACTGTCCCCTCAAACTCAACATATCCAAAATATAAGTCCAGCTTATATCTGTATCTCCTCAACCAGCTACTAATACATACCTTCATACCTATCTCTGTCAATACTGCCATTAATAAAATTCTAGCTCTTTCTTTGTCACTAACTAGCTGAGTAACTTCAGACATATTTTTAAATCTCTCTGGGTCTCCTATTCCTAATTCGGAAAATGTATACATTGTGGCCCAGATGTTCTCAAATATCTTGGAGTTGCAACACTTCATTTCCTCTGTCACTGAAGATCTAAACCTCCAGGTCATCTCTGATTACTCTTCTCCACCCCACCACACCCCATCCCTGCCCTATCCTCCTTCCCTATCCTATCCATAATGAAGTCTTGTGTGACACCTCTCCAGTCTTATTTCCACTAAGTGCAAATCCTCATTACTTCAGGCCTAGCATTGGTGCCTCTCTGATTTTCCTAAAATACTTTTAGCAATCTCTTTCTTAATACAAAAATTACGATAGGTAAAGCTTCTACTACTTACGGATTAAAGTACATTCTTCTCATGCCAGCTCTTAAAAGGCATACATAATCTAATTCCAACATACATTTTCAACCTGGTTTCTTACTACTCTCCTACACAAACCTTCATTTCAGTCAAATTTTTTTATGTACTGTTTTTTTAATGTATCATGCATATCCTGCCTTTGTTTACCACCTATATAAGTTCATTCCTCTGAAGCAAAATCAAATCCTACCTAGATTTGATTCTACCTCCTCTCTGGAGCCTTTTATGCTCACTTCAACTCTAAGTGACCTCAAATGTCTGTAACTCTCATTACTTATCTCCCCAAGTGAAAGGGATCTATTTTATATTTCTCTGCATCTCTTTTGAACATAGCAACACACCTATAACATTGTAGGCATTAATAAATATTTGTTTGGTGATTGACTAAAGTTCCTTTTTAATACATAGCATTTACTGAATGTTCCCCATGTGCTTAGCACTCTGTGCATTTGTGCCTTTTAATCTAGGTATTGCTCATCAAAGCATATACAACCAATTTAAAAACATATGGTTAACATCAGGAAAGTAACTATCAAACAACAAAAGCATGCCCAGTTCTTTCATTTTAAAACTAATCTTGTTGCTCATTTGTCATTCTCGTCAACAGTACTGATCTTCTAGTATTTTTGACCATCTCCTCAAACTCAACATGTCCCCCGCAAAAATCATTAGTTCATATCCCTTTGTAATTTCCTTCTCTCCTGGTTATATAGGATTTAAATTAGGCACCATTTTAAAACTACCTCTTTCATTTACCACTTATATTAACCCATTCAAAGTGTCCTGTCCGCATTTCTGTTATCACTAACATGATCAGATGGAACTAACTGATCAATAATTGCATCAATAATTTTGGTAGAGAGGAGGGTCAATTATTGACCAACATTAAAAAAAATGTAGTTTTTCCATTAAAAATAATTTTTTAATCAGAAAAGCCAACCAAAAGCTAAGGCAGAGGCTCTCCAACTTTCTCCATTCAGGAACTCCTCAGTCTTTGTAATTTTTTTCCAGGACCCCTAGGCAAAAAGAAACACTTAAGTGGGCAGGTTCAAACCATTTAAATGTTAATGTCCTTCCAATGTAGTGCTTGTTGGGCACTGTGTATCTCCTCAAACTTAGGAATGAAATCAGACAACATCACACTCTCATTGCCTTTATCATTGATTTTCATGTAGTATTTGCTTTTTATCAGAGCAACCTCTGAAAACACAGCTTTGCAAAGATATGACATTGTAGAAAGAAATGCATCAATCTAATGTTGAAACTGTGAACTACTTCAAATGAATAGTTCAGGACTGAGTTCACTAGTGCCCTGGGGCACCTCAGCTCACAATTTGGGAAACTGTGCGCTGGGAGCAAAAAGAAGGGGTCTAAAACAAGACACCCCCCACCAACCAAAAAAAAAAAAAAAAGCAATGTGGGAGGGGCAAAAGAAAGTTCTTAGCACAATTAACCACAAGAGGGCAGCACAATAGTTGTTAGGGGCAGCTTATGGGGGTGGGGGTGTCAAAGCAGTAAGTACAACCTTTCCATAAAAAAGCTATAAAACCCCTTAACTAGTTAAAAACCTAAAAGTCCTTTTTCTCCTTATACTAAAGAGGAAGAAACACTGGTCACTGGCAGATCGCCTTATGCAGAGTCATTCTGCCCTTCTCCGAATCTCCTTGGCCTGCCAAGCCAAGATAGCAGCCAAGACTTTTATAGAGGCCAAGCAATTTACCACTTTGCATGCATAATCATATTCAATCTTCACAACAATCATAAGAAAAGTGAGGCTCAAAGAGATTTTAAATAATACAACACCAGGATTCCAACCTAGATCTGACTCCCAAGCCGGTGTGGTTTCCTATTCTGCCTCAAAAGCACCCCACATTTCAGTAATAGCCAGGTAAAAGCAGAGAAAGATATCCCTTCCCATACCCGAGACACCTGTCTCAAATCACGAGGAAAAAAAAAAAACAACAGTACATGATCCTTAAATGGTCCCTAAAACATAATGAACTCCAAACACAGGACATTCAATTAGAGCAAAAACAAGCATTATGTGCTTATCTAGTCAGCAAGTATGACAGCTTTCCTATACAGGTAAATACATATACTATAAAGGCAAGTGTTGGACACATCCAGTTTGCAGTTGTTTGTTACACACTAACATTTATGTGCATATGCAAAGGATTCTCCCACTTTAAGTGTAAAAGGTGAAGGGGGTGGAGAAAGGGAGGCCAAAGGTTGGTTATTCATCTTCAGATCTGCTGGCTGTCGTATCAGAATATTTGCAGTAGCCCAACAACTCACTTGTATAAGCCTATTATGAAACCAAAAGCAATTGTCATCTCCCATTTCCACTTCTGGTTTCCTTCTCCACCCTTCTCCTCCCCACTGTGCATGACACACCTCAGCTGCTTCTATCCTTTCATTCAGAGAAAAGGAGTTTCTCCTGACAGATTAATAATCACCGGAAAGCAAACTGGGTAAATTCAACCGACACAGCAAATTTAGGCAGATAAAACCATCCAGGAAGCATTCAGTGTGGTAGCAGAAACACCAGCAAGAACGGCTAACATGTTCTCTCAATTTGTACCTCTGAGTACTGGAAAATGTTCCTCTTGGAAAGATTAAGAATCTCTGGCTGCTTGAAGAGAAAGGGTACCTGACAACATTTTTTTCTCCAAAGCCCTATTATTGTATAATCAGCAGAGAAAGAAACAATGAATGTTTCTGCGGATCCAAGGGCAACAATAAACACCCTCAAGATACTCTCCCAGACAAACATTAAAAGTTCAGCACTGCCTTTCTCAGGAGAGTAAGAAACCATGAGCCCTGCCTGTCTATACACGTTCCCAACCTTCCTGTGCTCCCACTCACAGCTCGTGATACCCTCATCTTTACTGCAGCAATAAAGGCCGGGATGCATACCCACCTTCGCGGGAAGGGGAGGAAGGGCCTCTTTTTCTGCAGAAGAAAAACAGTTCACATCTTGTTCCCTTGCCTGTTTCTGAAACCTGAAGAAGAGAAAAAGCAGGTACTACCGCAGAAATCCAGGGGAAATGCATGTCCTTTTCCAGTTTGTTTGGATGTCTGGAAAATTTTAAAGAGGGATAAGTACTAAAGGGTGAGGGTGGATATCAGGCTCACATGGATGCAAATACCAACAGCAAAACACCAAAACACTCCGTTGTTTCCCCATAAAGAGGAAGATTTTCTTGCTGTCAAGTTTACTGCCAGAAGCAGGGGGAAAGCGGAGACCACGATGTGGGAGGGTGGTGGAGAGACACCGGCAGTCCCCCACCCAGGACTAGACAGCAATAATACTGCCAGCTGCACAGATCTGGCGATGAGGACGCGCCCCCAAGCCCACAGGGGCTGCTCCTACCAGGTGCTTCCGGCCGGCCAAGATCCGCCAAGCCCCGAGAGCGGGTACGGGTCCGAGCGTCCGCCAGGCTGGGGCGCTCCAGTGCGATTTCGGCTCCCCCTCACATCCCTCGGCGGCGAGGACCCGGCCTTTCCCTGAGCCGCGGGAGCAGCTCGTCTCCCCGACGTGCACCGCAAGTCCGGGCCCAGGAGCCGAGTGGTCGAGGCGGCTGCGCGAACTCCCGAGCGAGCCGGCCGCGGGCCCAGCCGGTCAGCGCCCAGGGAGGCCGTTACTACAGCCCCTGCTGCCCCGTCCTGCTCCTCTTCCTCTCTACTTCCTGCAGTGCCCACCACTCTTACTTCAGGCAGCCGGGAAGCCCGTCACAGTAGTCGTCTCCACCCTCGCCCGGGCCACCCAGTTTCCGCAGAGCCGCAGGCGACACTAGGACTTAGTCTACCGGCTGGCCCTCTGTCGGGCAGCCTATCCTCCGCTCACCGAGGCAAAGTCTGAGCCAGGCGAGGACGGGAGTGGGGAACTGGCGCGCTCCCTGGACTGCGCGTGCGCCGCTCCACCCGCGCCGCGCGTATCCTGGCGCGCGTCGCCCGGCCCACCACGGAGGGGTACTGTGGACCTCGGTCTCCCGCGAGGCCGGCGGGTACCCACGGAGATTCCTGGGATGGCCCCTGGGCCGGAGCGGATGGAGAAGCTGAACTAGAAGGGGTAGGGGGACGGCCCTCCCCAAGATGGGCGTCTGTGTGCGGCCTACTGCTGCGGAGGCGACTGGGAGTGAGTCAGCCCAAAGAGGAAGGCGCCTCCTGCGCGCAGTCTAGCTCAGCACAGACTTTCCCCGCCCGCGCACGGCTCTCTCCTTCCTGACTTTGCTTCCACGTTCCAAGTCCAGTAAACCTGCACTTCCCCAGTCTCCGCCTCGAGACCGAGGGTTGGGGCAACGCATTTATCCGCGCCGTATTGCGCCAGTGCAGCCCCAAGCACCCAAGCTAGAAAGCAGTGAGGGTGGGGTGGGGCTCCCAGCTGCCTGAGAATTGACGAGGCCTGTGTGAATGAGTACAACTTCCATCGTCCCAAAGAGCTTCATTCATCCATTCAACAAATATTTACAGAGCACCTACTAGGTGCCAGGCTGTAGGATCCCAAGGATGCTATGTAATCACTAACTGCCTACTTCTTGCGTACTGGAGTAATATTCTGATAAAGTGACAAAAATGCCTTAAATGTATAACGTGCGGGTGTATAATTGCCGCTAGAAGAAATAATGCAAAGTGAAGGAGTAGAAAGAGAGCAGACGGTGTGCTATTTTACTTAGTGTTGCCAGGAAAGACCTCCCAGAATAACTAGCCTTTCAGCAGAGATCCCAAGGATGAGAATGAACCAGTCCTGTGACTATCTTGGAAAAGAGTTTCAGGCAGAGGGACTATCAAAGAGGCAAAGACCCTCAGAAGAGGATGTGCTTGGTAAGTTCAAGGACCAGGAAAGAGGTCATTGTGGCTGAAGGACAGTGAGTGAGGTGGCAGTGGTAAGAGGTGAGGTCAAATACGTAGGCTTTCACTGACAGTGTGGGGCCCTTTTCACATATTAGCCTTCTTTCTGTCAATCTGAAAGAACTGATGCATTTATGGTCATAAACATGTGATACTGCCCTTCAGATCTGGCTTTTAATAGTTTCTAGTATTTAATAGTTTCTTTAAATAAACCTCACCAAAGCACCTCCCGCATTTCTTCTTACATAAGACCCATTACAAAGGGTCTTGGAGCAAATGATAGCAGGATAGGAAACGACTTGAATTCATACCGACTTCTTTAAAGTAAATAATGAACTAAGGCCCTGTTTTCTCATAAGAGGAAGAGATTATAGGGGAATTGCATTCTTATGATGCAATATTGTGATTTATAAGATAATTGTTGTTCATCATACACAGTGCTGAGAGTGATCGAGGTATCTGTTGTTAACGAGGTGACTTTTGGACCTCATCCAAGGGTAGGATCTGCTTGGCAGGAGAACCAAACAAATGATTAGAGATTTGTAACTTTGAGTCCCACCCACCCCCACCTTTATTTGGGGATAAGGGAAAGAGACTGGAAATTAGGTTCAATTGCCAAAGGTCAATGACTCAGTCAGTCATTACTGTGTAAGGAAGCCTCCATAAAAACCCAGGAGGCTGGCTTTTCCTTTTTTGGAGAGTTTCCACATTGGGGAACTAGAATGCTTCCATATGATTGCCACCTTGTAGGGGCCCCAAGCCTCACCAGGACAGAAACTCCTTTGTTCCAGGCCTTGCCCTAGATATCTCTCCATCTGTCTGTATCCTTTAATATCGTTTTATAATAAACCAATAATCTAGTAAGTACTATGTTTCTCTAGTTCTGTGAGCCATTTTAGCAAATTAATCAAACTCAAGAAGGGTGTTGTGGGAACCTCTGATTTATAGCCTGTTGGTCAGAAGTATAGGTAACAATTTGGACTTGAGATTGGCATTCCGAATGGGAGGAGTCTTTGGAACTTGCAATCTATAGTTTGCTGGTCAGAAGCATAGATAAAAGCCTGGGCTTGCAGTTGGCATCCAAAGTGTGTGTGTTCTAGGGAGGGAGGTGACGGGCAGTCTTTGTAAGTCTGACCCCTTAACCTGTAGAATCTGATGCTCCAGGTAGATAGTGTTAGAAATGAGTTGAATTCTTTGACAGTGTCTGAGCAAGAACTTTTGGTTGGTATGAGGGGAACCCTCCCTCCCATGATGGAATTGGGTCTGGGAACCCTATTCATATGGCAACTGACTTGCAAGCAAAATATGCTGCCGAATCACTTTTTATTTATTTCTTTTTAAAAAATTAGAAATGTAAGCTGAGACTCAAATGGCAAATCTAAAACCTTCTTAGAATATTAAAGCTAAAATTAGAAGCAGCAACTGCTATGAGAGTTCTCTTTTCTGCAAACAAAAACTGTTACTGTAGTACAAACCAGAACACAGACCCACACAAAAGAAGATAAGTGCTAAATGTGGCTTTTATGTCAGGGTTAAAATAAAAAGCACTCAACTGTGGAGATAAAAACATTCTCTCTTGTGAGGAAGAAAAAAGCCTTTTAGAACTCTGAAAGTGCAAATACATTCATTGTAGTTAAGTGATGTTTCTATATTTTGCGATGATGTGTATATTCAACCAGGCATGGTGTCTGTTACTATCCACTGCCTATTCACTAAAAAAGCCATTTGGAACTAGAGAATATTGAGAGTTTCTGTGGGGAAATGGATTCTTTTTTTAGGTTTTTTTTTATATTAGAGATTGGGATATGGAATACAGGTGGAAAAGGGAAATATGTTATTCAAAGGCTTATGCAATTGAGAAGTCAATATACCTATGCAGAGAGATTAAATGACTTGCTTAGTGTCTGTCACTAAGACAGATACATTCAAATAGTGAAAGCCTCTCTTCTCACTAAAATATTAGGATTTTAAGATAATACTGCCCTGGAATATTTAGCTCTTTTCACTCTGTAGAGAATTGTTTAATTCTTTGTGTGATCCCTGGTAGCTAGAAATTTGATACCAGGGCAAACATTTCAGAAAGTTTGTCCTGTTCTTTGATAATAACATAAGAAAGTGCAAAAAAAAATTGACCTAGTCTTTCACAACATTCTTTCACACAACATGGAGAAACAAGAAATGTGGGTTGGTTGATAACACATTTAGATCCAGAACTGATTGTATGGCCCCTATCTAAAAATAAAAATTAGCAGGTAATTGTGAACTGTGGGGCAGTAAGTAGTGGTATGCAGCAGAGTTCTGTGCTCCCACTGTGCTAGAACCTGGCGTCAGCAGTCGTTGTTGACTGACTCTCCCCAGACCCACACGTGCAAAAAAAAAAAAAAGGCTATAATGGTATGTGAGGCAGGGCCTTGGCTTCTATCTCTTTTGAAAGTTCTTAGGTGGTTTTGAAGCAAAGCCAGGGTTGAAGACCCAGGGCAAGGGGCTGAAGAACTGAAGCTTGAGAGTCTGGCCAACCCAGATTTGAATCACAGCTTTCACCAAAGAAGTCATTGAGATTTTGTAAATTTCCATTTCCTCATCCATATAATGGGGATAATACCATCTTCCTTGAAGAGTTGTTTTGAAAATTAGATGAAAAGGTATTTTTAAATGCTTAGCACAGTTATTAAATGGCTATTATAGTTATTGTGGGGACAATTTACCAATGTCACCAAGCTTGGAGGTATGAGAAATATGTTGGATTTAATTTGTAATCTTGAAGAATTTATCCGTTTTTTGCATTACACGTAACTGTGGGCTGGCATGATTAGGGTTGAGTCGTAGTAGAGATAGATGCCAAGACCTGAATTTGGATTAAAAAATAAATAAAACTATGCCATTAAATGATGAAATAATAAAAACAATCTTAGGCCCTGGCCAAGTAGCTCAATTGCTTAGAGCATCATCTCAATCCCCAAGGTTGCAGGTTAGACCACTGATCAGAGCACCTATAAGAATCAACTGATGAATGCATAAATAAGTGGAACAACAAATCAGTGCTCTTCTCGCTCTCTCTCCCTCTTTCTCTCTCTCCATTCCCTCCTTTCTAAAATCAATTTTTAAAGTTAATTAATTTTTTTTAAATCTTAAGGGAAACATAAATATGGGAGTAAAAAAAGATATAGAAAGCAGCCCTGGCTGGTGTGGCTCAGTGGATTGAATGCTGGTTTGCAAAATGAAAGGTTGCTAGTTCGGTTCCCGATCAGGGCACATGCCTGGGTTGCAGGCCAGGTCCCCAGTTGAGGTCGTGTGAGAGGCAGAGAATTGATGTTTCTCTCACTTGTCAATGTTTCTCTCCCTCTCCTTCTCCCTCCCTTCTCCTCTCTCTAAAAATAAACAAAATCTTTAACAAAATAAAAAAGATATAGAAAGCCTTTGGAAGGGGAAACAGGCCCAAGCAAAGGATCTATTCCCATAAATCCTGCAGTTAGTTTGTTTCTTTCTGAGATAGGGCGGATAGGCTTTTCTTAAAGAAAGGAAGTAGCTATGAAGAGAGGCTGACTTATCCCAGGTCTGGTAATATAAGGTAAAGGCAGGACTCTGAATCAGATAGACAGGCAAGCAAACAATGTGGGGTTTTTTTGTTTGATATTTTTTTACTTTGAATTATCCAAATATTTCAGGTATATTCATTTAAAAGTTTGGTTGAATATGGCAAAAAAAAATTCCAAAACCTCCTCTACGCTAAAGACCTTGTCTCTGTATCAAGCCTCTCATTCTTCCATATAGTCCCAAAGAAAGAAAAATGTGTTCTTGGAAACAGGTCCCTCCTTTTTTTGAGATAATCAGGTAAGTTTAACTTCTATACATGAAAACCCAAACAATATTTACCTCTGTAAATTAGGAATAATAGCCTCCTTCAGGTGAGGATAATTACATTATGCAAAATGTTGATTATAATTATGCTTTATAAAAATATTTAACTAAAATAGAGGTAAAGTTAGCGATTCACTAAAAATATTTTTCTTTGTAAAAGGATTCATACCAAGATTCACTCTTAAATATAGAAATTCCCCTGGCATATTGTTAGTTTACAGAACATCAGTTCCTGAGTCCTTATTTAGAGTCCTAAGGATTCTCCACTCTCCACCCTGAGTAGCCAGCCTCTGGCCCCAAAACTATTGTTTGTGACTCTGCCCCCACACTCTTGATTGCGCCGTGAATCGTCACCTGACTAAGCCAGTCAGGGTTTCCCTCCTGGGGAAGTAGGAACTGGGATTCAAAGACAGTTGCTCAGACTTTTGTTCACTTAAAATAAAGTTACCCATGCTGTAAAGTTAAGCACTGTGAGGTTGCCACCTTTACTCAAGTACGTGATGTTGATGGAAAGCTGATTTGCTGTGGAAGAAAAGAATGGCCAGAAGAGAGA